TGTCTTTAGAACGTTGCGCCGGGATCTCATGCAGTTGTTTGCATCCACCAAAGCCCCTTTGCGCCTGCGTAAACAAGTAGCCGAGGGTCGTGCTGAGCCATTGTTCTCCGCAAGTGAGGTGTCTGCTTTGCGATCTTGCTGGAAAAACTGGTTCCGTGAGCAGGGGTTCACGCAGGAGATTGACTGGACGGTGGCTCCAGGGCAACCCTACGCGTTGAATGCACTTGGGTTGTTGGCCCAGGCTCTGCAGGACCGTGATGTCCATCTGTGGCCGGCCTTGCGCGAGGGGGTCCCCACTGGGGTCGCACATGACATCCCTCCCAGCAACACTTTCATCCCAGTTCCATCGTGTGGTGAGGCTGCAGACCCCGAAGATTTCAAAATTTGTTCTGGAAACTGGCCCGGAGCCGAGTCTGACCCATCCCTTCTAGAAGAAATGATACAGTCAGAATTGCAAGCCGGGTATGTGGAAGCCGTGGGTTCCTTGGAGGAGGCCAAGCGCAGATGGCCTCAAGTTGCAGTCGGCGAAGCGAACATTGTGAAGGCCCCTGGGCGCAAACCCCGGCTCATCATTGATCCGACCGTCTCGGGTACCAACCCAGCGTGTTTGATCCCAGAGCGCTTCATGCTGCCGGGTCTGTCGGACATCCAGGCAGGTTTCCCCATCAGGGCATGCTCAGAAGAGGTCAGCGGCTTCAGCCTGGACATTGCGGCAGCCCACAAAACAGTGCGGATTCGCGAATCCGAACAAGGGCTGCTAGGCATTAAGGTTGGGGATAGGTACTACTTTTAAAAAGTAGCCCCTTTCGGTGGTGCTTTTAGTGCCCACTGGTGGCAGCGGTTGGCGGGGTTCTTCATCCGATGTTGTCACAAGATAGTATGGGTGTCCCACGTTATGATTACGTACGTAGACGACGCTCTTTTTTGGCAAGCCGTCCCCGCGCTAGATATGTCCGCCTGCCTGATTTTGTCTTTCTGCCAGACATTTAACTATCCTATCAGTTGGCGTAAGCTGCAGCTCGGCCCCACTATCGAGTATATTGGCTGGCAAATACACTTTCGGGCAGGGGCGTTCCAGCTACCCCAAACAAAGGTCGCCAAGCTGTTGCAGGCTGTCCAGAAGGTTTTGCGCAGCAGTCCATGTTCTTGTAAGGACCTTGAGGTTTTGATCGGCCTTCTCCACTGGGTGCTCCAGCTTGCTCCATCATTACGACCATGGCTGTGCACTCTCTACCATGACAAAGCCAGGCCTGTTGGCACTAACTTCTCACTGACGCAGGCAGTGTGGCAGCAGCTCAAATCCTACCTCAATGAGGAAATGCATTTCGCATGTAGCCCCCCAGGGACACGTATCAGGGCTGGGTCAAGGCTTTTGAGCGTTAGGCATGTGCCTATCAATACTTTGGATGATTTGCGGCTTGTGCGCAACACAGGCAAGCGACTGTGGGCGCGCGTAGCTGACCCGTCAACTGGCAAGCGGAAATTGTCGGACACTAGCGTACGGTTTTTGCAATTTTGGCAAACATGGTGCTTGCGTCCTCAGGTCTTTCGACCGCTGGCCCTTTCCCCGTTGAACCCTTCAGTTTCGCTGGCGGCGGATGCTTGTGCTAGTTTGGATAAGATTGGCATTGGGGGTTGGGTCGCGTTTGAGGGTCAGCCCCGCATTTGGTTTGCCGAGTCCTTCCAGGTGTCCGATTTCACATCATTGGGGCTCCCAATGAAGGCGGAGGCAAACCTCGACATTGTCTTTTATGAGACTTTGGCTCAGATCGGTCTGATGCTGTGCTTCGCAACTGCGTGTGTTGGGGGCCGCCTTAGAGTGTGCATTCCCTCCTGGAGCGACAACTCAGGAACGGAGTCTGTGGCCAACAAGTTGTTTACCACAGTGGTCCCCTTGTGCTACTTTGCGCAGCGTCTCGCAACTTTAGCCTGGAGCGCCGCAGTGACTCTGGATTGCTCTCATATCTCAGGATGTCATAACGACAAGGCGGATTGGCTTAGCAGGTGGAATGGTGCTGACCCGCTGCCTTCTGACTGGAAGAGCGACTATCGCGTCAGGCTTCCCTTGGCAATGTTGTGGGAAGGTGAAAAGGATATTCGTCTGTTTCCATCAGAAGCACGTTTGCTGTGGAAACCGCTGCTTCCAGCCGGCACGTCTTAAGTCTTTAGCGTGCGCTGCCTTGTAGGATGCCGTCAAAGTGGCGCTTCGTCGCTT